GGCACCATCACCGTCAATGATTCACTCTGAGACATCTGAATACGCGCACTATAACGGACAGCGCACATATATACTTGCATAATGCATTTCGTGTCGTCGCAACAAAATTATTCATCGCGCGGGGATGCAAACCCGTCATCTATAGTGCAATGCGTATCGATGTAATCGGGCCACGATGACGGTCATTGACGAAAAAAAAAAAAAAAAAATGTTGCCTCCCGCGCAAAACACTTTGCGCACACTTTTGCCATTATCAAAAGCACACTTTTACTCGATAATTTAGATTCGTCCGCCCGGACTTTTCCCATCGAACGGATCGATCGCGCGACAGGGTCCCTCCTCGTTCACCCCTAGCTTAGCCGGAAAGGGCAAGAAAAGAGGAGAATACAGGAATAAGTCGGATTGCGATGATCGCTTCCGGCGATCGACCTGAAGAAACAACTTTTTCCGCATGCCAGGCAGCAATTGGCAGAAAAAAATACAGCCGCTCTCGGTGATCGCTCGCCGACTGCACATTTCCGGACACGAACTTTCGCCTATGCAGGTATTCCACGGGTAATGCGCGCGGAGCATAGTATGTATTCTGTACCTCATCATTCGTTCAAACAACCGTCGTGAACGCTCTGAAAGAGTAATCGTGTCGAATACGCGGGTATCAAACGAAATGGTATGTTGTGTCCGGCAAATTGTGCTGGCAAACGTTATGATTCTCATCGAGCCCTGGGCGAGCGGGAAAACAAAGAAAGGGGCGTTCGGTGGGTTTTGACAAAACTTATTGTTAGTTCATCATATCATTGCTAGATGTGTCATTTTATCAACGTTTATTGTACTATTATGTTTATTGTCGAAGATTTTGTCTCTCGTCGATGAAAAATTGAATTATTTCAACGTTAAAAACAACAAATCTTATTTCGTATCTACATGAGAAATGATCCAGAAAAATTTTAATTATAATTATGAAACAGACAATTCTCTCAGACAACAAGTTGACACTTTGCCTAAAATCGTTAGACTATCGGATATCTTTGATGAACTTTGAATGCTTCACCAACGCGAAAAATCCGCACAGAATCGATTCTTTATCTCTCTCTCTCTCTCTTTCTCTTTCTCTCTGTCATCACAGTCGATATCGCTGCTATTACATCATGTTCGTTAAAAAAGACCTGCATAATTAAGAGGACTCGCTCCACTATTGTATGCGTAATACACGAATGCGTACACATACAGAAGCGCGCTATTCGCTCCTATCATTATAATCGGCCGCGAAGCGAACGTTTCAGCCGGTAAATATTTAAGTCGACCGGTAAGGGGCCGGTAATGAGAGTCGAGATGGATCGATAGGCATAGTACGTAGGATGAGGTGTATACGCACGTACGTATGGGTCGCTGACACTCTCGATAAATATTGTCCGGCAAGCCGCGCGAATCGTACTTTTCTTCCCTTGCGTTTGTGCGAGAGAGATGATATCGTCGCGGAGAAATTAAAAAGTCTAAGGCAAACATCGCGCTGTCATACTTTTCTCCTCTTTTCCTGCGAGTCACCCTTCCTCCGAATGATATATAAAAATGTGCTTCATTACGTTGGTTTTGAAAGGCAATTGGACGAAGATGGCAAATGTGATTTAATCGCCGCTTCGATCCAAATATTATATAGTCCCTTCTTCAAATGAATTAACTAAATATTAGCGATTACGATTGTATTGCGTTTTAAGCACTAAAGATCTTATCAAATTATTTCTAATATTACTTTCATCATTTTTCCATCAAGTTTTATTAGTTTTAATTCCGCAATGTGTTTTTCAAGTCAACAAGATCATAAGGGCCACGAAAGTCTCCGAATTATGAGTGCAAAATTCTTTTAATAAATTTCTTAATAAAACTTTGTACGTAAAGGATACGTTCTTATTTCGCTACTTCGATATTGCCGTCCTTAAAATTGTATAGTTGTATTTTTTGCGTACTTTATCTCGTTCGTTATGTAGTAAAGAGATACGTCTTCGCAAAATAAAAAGTCGGTAAAAGAAAATATTCGTAATATAACAATATCGCACATGTACTACTGAACAAAATCCTAATTGCATACAGGAGACACATGCGGATGTAATTAATCGTATTTATTTACTGCAATTAAATAAGAGCATTTGTAATTTTTTTATGATTATCTTATTCATTGTCGCTAAAGATACACAGAAAATTTATTATAAAATACGAAGCAATCTATTGATGCGTTCGCTCTAGAGTATTAAAGTCTGATTGCACTTTTTTCTGCATCAAGCAATACGATATAAAAATTGAATCGTAGGTGGAACAATTACGATAATTGTATTTTCCTTCGTGTAGTCGTGAAGAATGATAAGAGTGAAACGGCGTGCCTGCTTCAACAAAGCAATACTGTCATCTACTTCGCCATTGTACATACCCATGCTGCAGACGATAATTCTGACGATAATATATCGGAATAAAACGTCGGTAAATTTAATTTAAAGAAAAGAATGTCCGTTTATACATCGACGGCTGCCGATGAGTCAGAACCGCGTCAAGAAAAGAAAGTTTCTTTATTCCGCACAAGATAAAAGATATAAGAAATCGATCTTTGGTTCTTTTGTGTATCAAGTGCTAGAATGATAATTCATACCCGATATTAAAGATCGACTGTACCTCACCTCTTTACTACCGGCAATAACGATAATGTAAAATTAAAATTTACAGTCACTGTCAAAATATAATACAGAGTAACAAAACTTAAACTATAATTTCTCATAGTGAGTGATTATATTCTCCAAAAATTCAAATATGGATATTTAATGTTGCTTAAATAATTTTAATTTTATACTATTTGCAAAGAAATGTTAAAATACATTTTATAATTAATTTTCTAACAATTTATTAAATATTTTTGGTGCTGAACATTTATGGCATTTTTGAGTTTTGCAAATATCTATCAGCTTTAAAACAACTTATCTTAATTAATAAAAGAGAGCATGACGAGCTATCAAATTACTTTAATGTTGTTATATCATTCCATAAACACTTTCGACATTTCATTTCTTTATGCCATTACAATTTAAATTGGATATAAATTCAAACGTTTTCATCACCGATTTTATCTCTTCTCACGCGAGCGTTAAATACCCAGCAATTACTCGCCGTGTTTCACGCACGATGACAACATAAAAAATTTCTTTTACGCGAATAGCTATTCGTTGTTTTCTTTTGCTCGCGATATTTCTGAATTCTCTTTTTTACTGTTCATGCACGCTCATTCGAAAGAGAGGAAAAGAAAGAGATATCGTTCGCGCGCGCAACGTGTCCGCGAGCAGAATTAATTTCTTTTCGATAGAATCTTAACGGCACCTTCCGTCGCGTTACAACGTTCGAAGGCGTCCGTACACTTTTATCGTCGCTTTACAATCGTAAAATTATTTGCTCGGAATTTCGAGAGAGAAAGAGAAGCGTTGTCTCTACAGAACAGCTGTTTGCTCTGTATTATCACCGTCAATCGATCGTCGTTAGACGACCGACGGACTTTTAGAAGATCGTGACAAGAATTTACAAGCGTGTGTAGGGTCAGTCTCTTTTTTTATTATTAGTATTATTATTATTATTATTGCTGTCTACTACGAGGCCGCGATCTGCGTGCAGGATGATCGTTCTTGAACGTCAAGATTCGCGGGAGCGATTAACAGAGAAGTTGTTGATTTTTTTTTTCGTGTAACGATATCGCGAGAGCAATTGCCAGATACAAGATTATGCGGCTGACGTTAATAAATGATAGTCACTCGTGACATTTTCCGCTTTCACCAATGAAACCATATTTATCAGATATTTTCTGCTTTTACTAATGAAATCATAATTAAGATGAAACATCGTTCTATGCGAATAGTTATTATTATTACAGTGATTATTATTACAGATTATTATCGTTGCCAAAATTTGCATACGGGAAAACGATACACATTCTTCCGCACTTTATTTATAAATCATTTTAAGAAAAATCACGAATAGACAGCGCATCCAACATATATATACCAATCGATTATCTTCCGCCACACATGACATCTCACATGATTTTTTATCGATTTCTTTAATTCTTCTACTTTCTTCTATTTTTGTCGAAGATAGTGTTAAATGTATTTTTTATTGTTTATTAGCACGTTGCATATTATTGTCTCAATCGTGCGCAAACACTTTAATTGTTTGTTTTATGTATAAAATAATTATTAATTGCACATTGTGTGTTTGAGCGGGTTGTTGACGAAGGTATTACGATTGTATGGCTAAGTCGTCTTCGGCAAGATCAACCACACAGACTTTAGTCATCATCGATTGACGCGCACACGACTGGTCACATGATTTATTGGTTGATTCAGTTGCGTTTGATTAACCTTGGCTCATTATTCAAGACTGCGCGCTGTTGTTCCTCGCTGATAATCGAATTTGCAACGCGCGCATTCGTAATTCACGTCTTTCTTTTGAGCAGAATTTATTATGCCATCCGCACTTATAACGTGAATTATAATGTGTTGTGATAATCAATACAAATTCTTAATTAATTGATCCGTAATACTCATAACTAGAAATGTAACATCACTCACGGTTTTCAACGAGACATGTTGCAAAACCTTCCAGAAATATTGTTTGAAATATTATCATTCGATATGATAATTGACGGTGTATTCTATTATATGTGTTAATAACAATACATTTAAAGTAAATTAAAAAAATATATTTGCACACGCGCGCGCGTTAATTAAATATAAATAGAAATATATTTAATAGCAATTTTATTTCAGAAAATTAACGTGTGAATTCTGCTTATACATATAATTAGTACTGCTTTATATCTTTTTATAATTACGAGATATGCTTTCTCTCGAAAATTATATTAAAATACGACGGTATTTTTTGAAAATTATATATCTCTTTCCCAAATCAAAATACTGAAAAATGCAACGTACAGCGTACTGACCCCGGATATCTTCCTTGATTTCGTGTTACAGGTGAGAAACCGCATAAGTGCGTGGTGTGCGGCAAGGCGTTCTCCCAGAGCAGCAACCTGATCACGCACATGCGTAAGCACACCGGCTATAAGCCGTTTCAGTGCGGCCTGTGCGACAAAGCATTCCAGAGAAAGGTCGATCTGCGAAGGCACCGGGAAGGTCAGCATCCGGCGGCGCCGGCGCTCGACTATCGCTCTCTTCAGATACCGCCTCAGCAGCCGAACAATAACCGGCGCTCGTCACCGGTATCGCCACATTCGACGGGTTATCGTATGATATCCGTGCCCAGCAGCAGCTGAGACTCGTTCAGCTGACAGACGAACGTCTTGTCCGTGAACGCAGCGGTGCTTCAAACCGGATAAATCCCCCTTCATCCCCCTCGCCTGCGCGGTACGTATCGCACCATCGTGTCGTAGCCCATTGAAGGCAATACGTAATGTGAGATCGGTCGCCGGAGAAGCGAGATTTCACATATAGATTTAATCCGACGTTGATCGGAAGGAGTAATGCGTTTCGAGTGTATCATCCTTGGACATAACGTTGAAATAGCGAAACACGAACGTGTTTAATGTGCGCGTACTGTAAGAAAAAAGATTGAATTTAAAATGATAACTTATCATGTCTCACAGAAAAAGAAGATTCTGGTGCGGAGTAAAACGAAAACAATCGATTATTCTCGTTATGTTCAACTCCGCTTTACGTCGCGAATACTTCATATAAGATTCTGGTGCTATACATTCGGAGTAAAACGAAAACAATCGATTATTCTCGTTATGTTCAACTCCGCTTTACGTCGCGAATACTTCATAATATACGTCGAAAATATATATGAGTGTATGTACATACATACATTTATGTTAGTCACAAAAGAAATTTAACTTTTATACAGATATCTCTCTCTAATATAACGTATTAAAAATTTTCAAAGAAAAAAATCTTCTCTCGAATTTTTGCAAAAAAAATGGATTCCATAAAAGAGGATTCATTATTTTATTAAATATATTATTACATATTATTTTATGTATATATAGTTATTTATAAATTTTAAAATCAGAGTTCTAGGATACTTTGTAGACATTACAGAATATCCCCAAGAGATACATTAATAATCTGTTCATTTTCTTTCGTGACTAATTGCAAGTGTATGCGTATTACTGGTCATCACATCTAGATGATACTGTTATATATATGATATTGTGATAATATACCACGATGCATGATATGTCGAAACGGATTATTGGACATGGCTCTTATTCGTTGCATCGACAAATCTCGTCACAACAAGTGCATCTTTTCGTAACGTGTAACGTGAAGACACGTGTGCATCCGCGATTAATGTATTGAAATGCTACGCACATATTGTATGTATGTAGGTACATCGATGAATGACTGACGACGCGTGATGCACGTGTATCAATGAGAATCGCTTTAAAATGTAGTGCTTCGCTCTTGTTATATCAGTGATTCTACGTCTACTTTATGGCATATAATTATAGCTGGCGTTACGTATATTATATATATACGTAACACCAGATAAATACCGGCTACTTTTTTCAGATAACTCACGTGATATGTCAAAGTATCATCGTTATCTATCGTATATTCATATCAATTGAACCGAATATAAATTCCTTAAGACGCGACGTTAATCTCGCATTATTCTTTTTGTTTTATTGCTTAACGAGCTATATTTCATTAACGAGCTATACTTCAATAGCCACAGCTCTAGTAAAGTGTCGTATATCTTGGAAAATGTGTCAAAATCGAAAATGATACACAGATATTGGGATGATTTATAAAAATAACGAGAGTCATCAAAATAGGATACATTCCGAGAGAACGGAACAAAAGAAACCAGCATATCATGAAAATGACATAGGTTTGTCTTATCGCGAAACGATGAGATGTAAATACACACAGCCGCGACTGTGCACGCGTGATTGCATGATACAGATTCAAGGTGTGCGATAATTCAAGGATCGTCTGCCACATTGAAGGTCACTGTCTCTCTGCCAGCCAGTCTCGCTTATTCTCAGGTGAGAAACAGAATTGTAAATATTTTTCATTGAAATCACCACCGATATCCTTTCTTCGGAGGTATAATTACGGAGCGTAAAACACATAATCGAATGCGATTAACGGGATATTTGCATAAATCAGTCAATTGGACAATCGTATATTTGATCAAAATCTACATACACAGTGCCTTGAGATTAAATAATTCTGACGCAGTTAGAATTATTATGATTAAGCCAAAATATTCCACAATATTTCAAATTTATTATTGAAGGCATATCTCTGAAATTTAACAGTGAACGACTGTATATATATATGTACGTGTATATATACATATGTATTGTATTTCTTGAGGCGTCTACGCAAAATATCGCATATATATGCGTATTTGTACACTGCTGGTTTTATAATTTTATTATTTATTACTATATTTTATATAAAAAGATAATTGCACAGTCTTTATCAAAAATAACATCTATCAATAGACGATTTTTAATTCTAAATAATAAATTCATTATATATGATTTACACTAATTGAGAATTATCTCATAAAAATATTTTTGAAATCCTTTTGTATATACATGATGTATAAAAAATATTTAAGTAATATTTGCTATATTAAAATGTACAATTATCTCGGTGTTTCGAAAAATATAAATTGGAATTAAAGAAGACTTTTTCATTTTAATTTGTATTACTAATTTCGGTTAACGTTATGAAATAATTCAACTCGATTGACATAAGTAAAATGCTATATTAAAAATACCTGAATGTGCCTTTCTTTCGGTGTGTCATTGTATATCATATTTATTGAATATCACTGTATTTCTACTATATATTAAAGAGTTTACGTTTATATACGTAAATAACATTCGTATGTTTGATGTACAATTAAGCTCTATAAGCTTTTAGATACAGATATGCAGAAATTCTTTTTAATAAATTTTTTAGTTTATATTTATTTTTTACGCATTTCACAAATCTTATGCACATTTTATTTTTGATATAAAAAATTCTAATATCAGTTTTAATACAAATTGTGTTAAATGCGTTTTAGTAAATTTGAATATTTTGGCAGTAACAAAAGAAAAGTATTAACATAAAACGCGTATAATTAATAAAGTCATGAAAAATAATTAATTTATGATTATCGGTTGTAATTGTTGAAAATCTATTTTTTTTTTTCATATATTATTGTAGTTCTATTCTCTCTATCAATCGAAACGTATATCTCTGATAATATCTAGAGATGATACAAAATAAAATGTACACAAAATGTATCCATTGTATGGAGAGAACTCGCTGAGCTGATTGTGAATATAATACTATTTGTCTATTATGTGTCATAGTCCATCGAAGCCAAAGTTTTCACATACACACATTCATGCTTTGTAATCGTGAATTATTCAGAAAAAGTCATTCAGAAAGAGAAAAAGAAAGAAAAAAGAGAGAAACCATGATATTCAAATTATTAACAAATATTATCAATTTAATAAAATATTTCATGGCAAATAATTTTTTAAACTGTTTTGTACGTTACTTGTGAGTCTAATAACTTCACGTCTTGCTTTCGCACTTCTTATTATATTTTTGTAATTATTGATATATGAATATATTATCTTGACGGACATACTTTTTACCAATATTTAATCGTCAGAAAATCAAAGTATACTTCCGAGATGGGAAGTCATTGCTGTGAAAGAAAAGCGTGAGTGGAAGCAATTATTTTTATATTAACGCTAAAAAAAAGCGGAGAAGTGAAATATGTAGCTTAATGATAAGCACGCTGTACTTTATTTGCACAGAAAAACAATCGATGTTACAATATACGAACGGAGACTCATGTACGAAACGAAATAATTCCGGATAACGGAATTAGTTTTTAAATTTTCGCGAAGGTTTTATGCAAATAGATGTTCAATTCAATATTCAATTTTTCAAAATCGATAAAAGATTATCCGTCCCTGTATGAATTATAGCAAACAAATCGAGAAAAGCGACAAAGATAGAATTTTCGCACGAAATTCGCATATCCGGCAATCATAGCGGCTAGAGGACCAAAGATAGTATAAGCCGGACCTAATCGATTGGTAGCGTAATCGAGTTTTCTTTTCTGTAAAGTCTAGAAAACAAAAACGCGAAACGAGTTATATCGTCAAGCGCAAAATGAATACGACAAGATAATTCGCGAAAACTCGTAACTTACCAGAGATTCTGGTCCCTCGTACATACGTACAGATTGTAACATACCATTAGGATTAGCTAGCTAAGTGCGTTTAGGTTAATCGTCTGATTATGACGTATCGTTAACGATAATTTGTTTCCAATAAAGATTTCGCGATGAAGATTACGACGAGCAAAGACATTGTCCTCTTGGGATAATTAATTAGTGAATATTGTAGTGCGACGTGTCCAACACTAGACTCGCGCGTTGAGCAATTTCGTGCTGTATGTTAAGATTATATAAACTTATATGTAGAGACCGTGATCGATAGATCAGTAAGTAAAAATCTTTTAAGATGTTTGTGTAGATGTCCATATTAATATGGTAAATGAAAAAGTGCGCGTAAATATGTCTGAGAGAGAGAAAGAAAGAAAAAATAAGAGGATACAATAGTGATAAGAGAGATTTTGCGAGCACGAGTGAGCGATTCGTGTTAATCGGTAAAACCAAAAATATGTTTATTATTGCTGAAGAGAATATTGATCGAATAAATTGTTTTTCTTATAATTCTCTATATTATTTAATTTTTCCACCCATAAATCCTCTTCATTCCTACCATATTTAATTTTCTAAATAATTTTATATATGTATTTTACATATGCGATATTTTTTGATAATTACGATTAAATGCAGTTCTAATATTTCAAAATAGATTTACGAGAAAATTATCCGTTTAAAAATCATTTCAATTATTTTAATATAAATATCTGAGCTGTAAAATATATAATTTTGCTTCACATAAAAATTTTCACTTCGATTTTCACATGTCGGTTTCTTGCTAATGCAATCTGCCGTTACATCCATTTTTCCTTCGAAGCCGAAGGTCGGTTATTATCGTGATAAGATAATTTTGTTACGTTTGCTCGAGCAATTAGCGGTATAATCATTTACGGAGGACTTCAGTTATTCCCGTTTACGGAATGAATGTATGAACTCCATTTGGGAAAATAAAAAAACTACAATTTATCTTAATATTCGATTATCTTATGTAAGAAAGTACTTTCTGCGCATGACATCGCCGTAACTAATAATATTTCATATAATTGGACAATTACATCGCAGATATAGTTATGTATATTACAATAGTTATGGTTAATAAATTTGTCGAATCGTTAGACCAAACATAGAAATAGAATAACTATTCTAAAAAAAAAATATATGAAAAGAATCTATTCCTTATAACAATTTTATAAAAAAAGTTTCTTTTTTTTTTTATACATCCTATATTCTTAAACAATCTTATATATATATATACGTACATATAATATAAACATAATATAAGTAATATAAATTATTTTCCAAATCAACTATTACTTCATATATTTTTAAGAGTTTAAATATACGTCTCAGACAGTAAATTGAGAAATCCAAAAAAC